TGAAATTCATCAAATTTTTTTGCAAAAAGTGATACTTAAACACTGCATATCCTTGTATATTTACGTCATAAACAAGAAAAACAAATCTTTATCGAAAGAACTCCCTGAAATGGATGCCAAAAATATGATTCATTACTGAATAAATTCGTAATAACATAAATAGCACAGAATAATGTGATCATCAGTTCATCTAAGTTACAGAAAAGGGATATTCTCCCCTCAACCGGTCAATCAATCACTCAATATTTCTCAGTATTCAAAATCTCTATGAGATGTAATCAGTTAAAATTAAATCAACACCAACCATTAGGCCATCGTTTTTTGGGGGCATTCCATTTTTTGTACCACCTCTTTCCCATTAGCTTCCGAAGTAGCAGTCCTCCACGGCGTGGAGTAGGGGGACATTCGTACTTGGCAGCTTCAGTCTTTCGAGTGCTGAAAATTTCTTGTTCAATTGTTGTTGCCCGGAAGCTGAAAATCTCATCTTGAATCGTTGTACGGTGAAAGTTTTCATCATCATCTCGAATGGTGTTGAGCTTTAGATACCTTTGTTCAAGAGACTCCTTGGGTATGTCCCTGGCTAACAAGGGAGATGCACCACCCCAGTTGTTAGTGCCACGAGACGGGTGCTGAGGCGTCCTGAAATCCAATAGCACCCTCTGCCTCATGTCTGACTTTTACCCTGTATGATAACTGCATTATTTCAAGAATTGGAATAATATATAACGCTGGCAGTCTTTAGACAAATTGTAATGGGCATTATGGTAATTTAATTCAAAGTTGGCCACCAAATAGAATATTATGGAGCTAGACTGCAAAGCCATGAAAAACAAAATTTGGGCGATTACTACAAAATTATGAACAATGAAAACATCTTTTAGTTGATAAGAACCATGGAAATGTACAATAGGATGAAGTTTCGAATTTGCAAGAATTAGGAATTGGGGGTGAACTCAATTAAGAATGGTTTGTGTCACAATAGGCTGATCCATCTACGACTAAGTAGGTAACCGTATAATCTAATTTCAAAATAGATCGGCATTCCCTAAACATAGGTATAAAGGAATCCCTATTAACCATTGATTCCAAAGTAAGTACGAAAAGGGATCCAATCTATGACAATAACAACGTTTGGGTAAACACACGTCCAAAGGATGTAAAAGACTTCGGTTTGAATGATAATTTAGTTGTACATATTGAGAAAACACGTCGAGAATAATTATAGTAATGTAGTGTTACTATGTTATATTATTTATAATTATTTTTGCTATATGATTTTTGCCCACTCAAATAAAATATTCTGGCTCCGCCGCTGATTATACCTAAACTACCAACCTTCATTATATTATACTACTGTAGTGCTTGTGCATTCCTTTTGGGATAGCATGGCAGGCTAACTTCACTTGTTTTGTTAGTTGATATGTTGGATTAGATATATAGGAATTGCAAGATTTTCCTTTTTGTACATTTTTTTTTAAAAAATCTTGTTGAGTAAAGTGTAGCATAACATGGTTTATAGAGTTACTTGTCGTGATTACTAATGTATGGCAATGGAAATTGTTGATTGCGAATAAGGATGGCAAAAAATTGTTCAACTCGATATTCGTGGGACCCGCTCCGAAGCAGGTATAGGACAGGTATGGGAAACATAGCCCCCGCCCCACTACCCACCTCGCTATCAGCCCGTTTAAAGTTAATTTCAAATTTAAATTTTTTTATCAAACAAAAATAAGAAGTCAAGTAGAAATACGACTAATGTAAGGATGGGTGTCGACCAATTGTATGAAGAAATTTGGCAAAAGCAAGAGTAAGGTGGCTGATAGCATTTAAAAATAACATAGTTTATTATAGTGCAATACAATATAATGCAATACGTGTATCTATTTATTGTGAACGATTTTATAGTTACCATATTAAATTTTGATATCGTATCTAGTTATAAAAAAAATCAAAGAAAAAGCAGTATTGCACCAAAATTTCTTGATTATAATTTTATTATTTTGCAACTACTTCAATAATTTTCGAATTTGTGAAAATGATTAGTCTCTTTCCTCCCAAATAAAAATAAGCATTCATACTATGGTATTTTGTATTGTTTACGTGGGTGAAAGTGACATTTCCGCGTAAAAAAATTGTCACCATAGAATTACTTACACGGTCAACATTATATGTACATCGCTACTTAAAACTAATGAATAAGAAAATTATTAAATAAAAAATTGTTGTAACGCCCTATTTTTATAGGATTATTCCTCAAGTACAGGAAAGGTTTCACAAGTTTCCTACGGCGTGGCAGCACTTTAGTCGTCTGTTCTTCTTTTTTTCTTTCCTCCATCTTTCAATGCTGTTTTGCCATATGTTATCAGTGAAAGAAATCTGTACCTGTAGCATGATTCATTTTTATACCTTTCATATTTAAGAAATAAACTTGATGTCCTATAATTCATATTTTTTTAGTTATCATTTCAATGGTTTATCATTCTTCAATATTCTAGAACAACTTTGAATTGGTATTTCTTTCACGTTAATTAATATAGGTATAACGATCAAAATTATAAGAGTAACAATTACCGAAATCACTTAGTTAACTTGTTTACCAGAAGAAAAGAGAAACTAAGAATTGAATCCCTTTTTGTTTGGTTGCTAGTGTCATCGTTCTCTTTCTTTCGTCAACTACCTCGAATAGGATACGCGATTGATTCATTCCTCCGGGATTCTCTATCTTCAATCGTGATTGTGAATTTGATTCGACTCGATTTAATGTTTGTTGGTGTCATTAATTCAACATGAGTTGATACCCATCTTTACTGGAAGAATTCGAATAATTATGAATGTCAAAAGTTTTCTTCATTATTTAAACAATTTATTTGATTATTTTTGTAAGAATTACCCTACCATATATTTATATATTTGTATTTTTGTTATAGAAGTAATCACATGGGGGCCATAACCAATACATTAAAAAAATTTCCAAATGGGAATCACCCTAATAAGAAAATCTTGATGGTGCACAAGTTGATAAATTAAATTTGCTAAATCTTGTTATTAGAATATGCTTGATTATGTAAAATAATAATTAATATTATTATTATTAATATTATTATTATTATTTTAAAGAGTTCCTATTATCGGAATCTCGACTTTACTATCAAAATTACACATAGAGGGTACGAGAAATATACAAGAAAGGATAGCCAACGAATTAATGATGAATAGAGACAAAATTAAGGTGGTAATTAATTACTGGGNACTCATTAATGATAAATTAAAATTCATAATTCAAACAATAGTGCAATATTAATTATTTACTCCAAATCACAAATTCACAAATCAGTGAAATCACAATTCTCATTTCAAATTTTTAATGTCGATTAGCCAAATTAATTCATGATTAATACAACATAAATCATAATTTCAGCCCGTAAGGATAGTCATAACTCATAAATAAAATTTAATACCAAAATAAAAAAAATAAAAAAAGTAGAATTAAAGGGAAGTTTTGGGCACAATAGGCCCAATTACAAACAACAAAGAAAAAAAGAAGTTAAAAGGCTTTCAGCCAATTGGGCCCAACATAGGCAAAAGTCCAATTACAAAAACAAAAAGAAAAAAGGGGGAAGGAAGATTGTCAATGACAGGAGTCGAACCCCAATCTTCTTGCTAGGAAGGTAAGCACTCAACCAACTAAGCTACCTACCTTATCCTCAACCAATTATGCGCTAACATTTATATATATTGAATATAAAATCTTCCTTTAATCTTTTTTCTCGGCGGATCCAGCACGGGCGGCCGCCCCGGCTGGCCGGGTGCTGGGTCCGCCCCTGCCCCAGTGTGACCTTGGGAGTGTTAAAACATTATGATCATAGCTTTATAACAATACTATTTCAAGGAAATGTTGAGGGGCTTCGAGTGTTACATGATGGCAAGTGGATTGGAGTTGGGGTTGTTCCTAATGCCTTTGTTGTCAACATAGGTACTCAATTAGAGGTATGTTTCAATTATATAATTATTTTTAGAGATATTGCTCATTCGTTTATGAAAATAAATTTTTGCTACACCCTTTGAATTATATTCGAAGAAGAAAGTTAAAAATTGAACGAAAACTTTTCATAGTCGGAACAAAATCAACTAAGATGAGACTCAAACCTCAAGCGATTTTGACAACATATTACACATGTTTCGAACAAGTTGAAATAGACACAACTAAATGTCAATTGACAAATTTTATCTCATGTCTTTCTTTCTTAATCTTGTTGACTCTGATACTCGTGTCTTTTGGTGTAGATTATGAGCAATGGAGAGCTAAGAAGTGCAGAACACAGAGTAGTGACAAATTCAGAAGAAGATAGATTAACCATTGCCACATTCATTAATCCTTCTCCAAATTGCAAAATAGAACCAGCCAAAGTCTTAATTAATGAATCAAATCCTCCTTTATATGATTCATTTGTGTACAAGGATTTTGTTGTTTCTACCAAAGCCTTTGGTCCTTATAGTACTGAAGTAGTTCAAACAAAGGACTAATCCACAATTGGAAAATTATGGGAATTTGTTTTTATTTATTGTTGTCGATTTTTCTATCCTGCAAGTGTACGGATTGTAACAAATAATATAGTGGATCAATGAATCCGGATATCGTTTCCACAAGGACTACTATATAACAATTGGTTAAATTATTCATAACTTTAATTTGATCGAAAACAAATAATAAGGTATGTGATTGGTGTCTAAATTATTCTAACTAAACTAAATTATCTAATGTACACAATTTATCGAATTTGGGTTTTAAAAGTATGAATGTGGATCCTAGGACTTACAATTTTACCTATGGATCTCCTTTAATTTGCCAATCGAGATTCGTTACTATTTTAGTGTTCTATCTAACTAATTCAATTCCACATCTCTAAGTGAATCAATCTTAGTTAAACGAAGTATTAATTCTAAGAATTCATCTAATGTGTGTAATAATTAGTATATGTATCTCTACACGTTATACTAAATTATCGAATTTTACTATGTGGTCTAAAATTAAAATTCATCTCTCAATTCGTAATAAATTCACAAAATCATTGAATAATTGGCCAAATAATTTAAAGCATTAAATTCATCAATAAAATCAACAGATGTGCATTTAAAAAACTAGAATCTTGAATAAAAGAAATAAATTGTTACACATAGATTATATTGTTTGCCTTAGATATGAATTTAGTTACTCATAATAATGAAATAAAAATAAAAAGTATAGAGTTCATAACAGGGTTTTGAAATCTTGATCAAGAAAAGAATTGAATCTTACACTAAAAATCTTTTTCAACCTAAAAAATATTCAAACCCTAGCTCTTGTTCTTTGATTTTGACGATTATGTATTTGTCTCCCCCTAAATTGTGTGGAACTCCTCAAAAGTGTAAAAACTTGTATTTATACTATTCCCCACGTTTGTGTCCAATGTAGGATTTTTATAGGCTTTAAAACGGGTCAAAAACGTGCTCTAAATACACCCAGGCAGCTCCTCAGCACTATGAAGACAGCGTTGTGGCACCTTGGCACCACGCAGCACCACCTCTGAGGAAAATTTCGATGATGCACATCTTTTAGTATTTTTATCATAAATTTCTTTCCCGAATCCGATTGAGATGATTCAAATTGCATTGTAAAGATAACTCAAATGGATACAATTTTACTCGACCAGATATTTTCCAATTCGAATGTTTACTAGACCAAAATAGGTCTCAATCTTCAACTGAAAATCTGGGACATCCTTCTGCGGTTGAATATTGATTTGTAAAAATATGTTGGTCATATTTCACTCACATTGACTTCTAATTGCATACAGTTGACTCCTAGCATTCTCAAATTTTCATCGGAGCTCCAATACAACTTTTGATTATTTGCACTTTAACCCCCCAAACTTTGGATCTTAACATTTTCTCCATTTTTCACTTATTTCTTTCAATTTCACTTCCATTCATCAGTTTCACCTAATAACGAATTATATAATAAATTAGGTTATAATTCCATTAAAAGTATATAAAGTACACTTATCATTTATTCAAATGTCGTAAGTTAAACGAATATTGTTCATTTTACAACGTGAAAACTATGGTTGAGAAAAGTGGGTGCATATTCAACTGTGCTATTTTTATCAATTTTCCCTAATATACAATCTTTATTATATATAAAATATACTTTTGAGTTCTATTTTACAATCCTTGTTAGATAAATATTGATTTTACCGTGCAATAACTTGACTCTTTCTCATTAAGACGATAATGTCACACACTTGTACTGACGGTATTTCGACACTCGTCTCCCAAGATATAACGACCTCGACTTATAATAGTGGCACTCCAAATTACAATACCTGACAAATCTACTAATATTTTAATCTCTATAAAATTGGAGGACTTAAAATACATGAAAATAATATTTGGGATTAAAATGCACAATATGGAATAATGTAGGACGAAATGATTATATTTTGCAAGAGAAAAAATGAGGAAAGATTTCGGAATGAATAAAATTCGGCATATGGGGACCTATTTAGAAAAGTTTAAAAGTTAAGTTCAAAAGACACAACAACCGAAAAGTTGTATCTTGAACAAACATAACCCATTTGAACAAACAGTTTAACAGTCAATCGCTAGATTCTAGAAGATGTCAATTGTAGCGCACAAAAAAATCGGGGAATAAATAGATATATTATTTAAATTAATAATAAATATAATTCAAATATATTTTTAAATATATTTATTAAAAAGTAACATAAGTGACGTAGAATGTTACTTTTGTATGGTAAAAACTTAATTCACATTACCTTAGACATTAACAATTGTCTATTGAATATCAATAAACTATACAGCTTCAGTACATAATTGATTGTGTGGACATTGCAAATTTCAACGCCTATCAATTTCTCCGAGAATTTCTAACAGTAATCAGCAGAACAGATCTATAATTGCTTGTTAGAACTTTATCTCACTATAAATCCAGTTGACTGATCAAACTTTAATTAGTTTTAAATTTTACCACTAACGTGTTTTTTTTTTTTTTTCATTTCTAATTGATTGTAGAATTAAATCGTATCCAATCCTTCTCTTTTTTTACAGACCTTGCTTAGGGCAAGTGTATAACAATTCTTTGCCAAAGCTAAATCACCTNACAATTTTTTCCCGAAACTAAATCATGTTTCTAAATGCAATTTCCTCTGCATAGTCAAGCATCTACAAGTGAGAAATTCAACTTAACTTGCAAAGCAAAACAACCTCAAAAATCTCTTCACTTACCAGCAGAATCCTATCATTTTCAATCTCTGCCTTTACCTCCTCCTTCCGCAACCCCAACACGACAGCCATGAAAATATGAGCATTGGGGGTCTTTCCAGTCAATCATAGCACAGGCAAATGCATCAGTTTTGGAATTTGAAGACAATGGGAAGTCGGACGGTAAATTATCCCAAAAGTAGAAGAAAACATGTGCTTAGTGGCCATCCTTAAAATGGTACTAGGCTTCCAGGGAAAATGGGTCATAAACGTCACTTACATTTTCCAATTTTTCTATGATTTTGAATGAATTTTGCAAGAAGTTGAAGGTTTTGAATGGATGAAACGGTGCTCGCCGGTTACAATGGGGATCGTGGATAAGACATATTGGGAGTTTTGGAAGTTTCGGGATTTTATATTTATCAAATTAGTTAATATTTTAAGCTATTGGACCTAATTTGCCCTAATTTTTAAGGACTTTGGTCTGTTGTTTAATCGAATTATTTAGTCAAAACTCATAGGCGTTAGACTTCAATTTTTCAAATCAAAATACATACATGAGCATTAGAACTGAGGAATTTTGTATATGGGACCATTAAATTGCAGAGATGATAAAAAAAAGCACAAAAAATTATTTTTGAAATCTCATTTTAATGTAGTATACTCTGGATAATTCTTGAAAAAGCTCAATCACCCCAATCAAGATCAAAATTTTAAAAATCTAGAAGAATTATTCTCTTTGTCCAGGGTTAAAAATAGAATGGAAAAAAACAAGGTGATGTGGCATGTATTGATTGAGTGTTGTTTTTTTTTTTTTTAAACTTTTCAAATGCTCAATCGTGAGCCGACATGTGGCGCACCCGTTTTTGAATTTGTTTTTCATCCTGTCCCTGTAGCTTGTTTGAATCTAGAATCTCATTTTATATCCAAATATAAACCACACGAGATAAAAATTCGTCTATCAATAGCAAAAAATAGTATACGAGTATGCAAAACATGATTGAATCCAAGCAATATCTTCAAACCTAACTTTTGAACACCGCCATGGTATATTCTTTTAAAACCAAAATGCAGTTAGGACTTTTTTGGTAGGACTTCCAATTTTGTTTTTATATTTGCTTCTCGTAGAAAAACTTCCTTAATCTTAAAAATCAAAATGCAATTAGGACTTGTTTGGCGAGCTTCTGCTTCTTATAGAAAAGCTAGAAGCTGCCTGAAATTAGCTTCTTCTAATTAAAAAATCTTTTAGGCAGATGGAACATTTCTAAAAAATTATCCGAACATATTCAAAAACAACTTCTTAGTCTCATAATGAACTTTTGACTTTTCAAAAGCATTATCAAACGTATCCTTAGTTGATTAATTATGGGCAATCTGCAGTTGTTTAACAAGTAATAGGATCAGTCCATTAACATTTAACACATGCCATTATTTTCCCACCAAATTAGCCATCGAATCTACACTATTTACTAGGATCTGTATACATTATATAATTTTTTTATTTTTTTATATATATTGTGACAAACCCAATACGGATGCATCATTGTGATGATGCAATGAACATGTCATTAAGGTGACCTCACAAGAAAATAATTATAAATTCACCCTATGGTAATAATATTTTATTTTTAGATTCACTCACTTTCCTTTTTGGGGGTCACCATCTGCTCAAAATACACTGAATAGCTAAAAAATTTCTTAACAAAAATCAAGAATCGTAGACTTGCGTAATCAGATGACGTCACAACTAATCTACTTTTAAAAAAGCTTATTACAATCAAATTCGGACTGAAATTATAATAATTAATTACATAGTTTATTAATTCATATTAGTTTATTATATCATGTTTCCTTAGCATTCGATGGATCTTCTTAGGAAAGGACCACACGAACTTGACCTTTTGCTCAATGCAGATTTTCCACTCATTGTGTATATATAAATGTAGGACAGAAGTTGGTAGTGTAATGAGTGAAAAAGTATGAATAAGAGCTCAAAAGACAAGTCCAAGGAAGACAAAGAGGGAGGCGGAAGTGGTGGGGAAGTGAAATACCGGGGAGTTAGGCGGCGGCCGTGGGGAAAATTCGCAGCGGAGATTCGGGATTCAAATAATAATGGGAACAGATTGTGGCTGGGAACATTTGCCACTGCAGAAGCCGCAGCAAGAGCATATGATCAAGCTGCTTATACAATGAGAGGTTCTTTAGCAATTCTTAATTTCCCTCATGAATATCCTTCTTTATCGGCTTCTTCTTCTTCGTCGATTGGGAAGCAAAGTGAAGATGGGAATTCGAAAGAAGTATTCGAATTTGAGTGCTTAGATGACAAGTTGTTAGAGGATCTTCTTGAACCCGAAGAGAACAAAACTGGAAAATAGTCAATATTTCCAGTTTTTCCCCCTTCTTTTTACTTATTAAGTTTAATAATCACTTTTTCTTACAGTTTCATGTGCACTTTTTGACTTTTTGGGGGAAATTAAGATAATATATGTACTAGTTAAGGATACTGGTTTTACTTTGTAAGCTGTCAGATGTGTCTTTACAGTGAACTTTAGTCCAAGATAATGTATTACTCTGCTAAACTTGTCTGTCTGGTGTTTTGCTTTCTATTAAGTAATGATTAAATTAAGACGTTATACTAATTACTAATAAGTTAAAATATTATTTTCATATTGGTTTGCACCGCGTGACGTTTGATTATTATGTCACAAGAGTCGAAGACAACGAGAATAGACTTGTCGAAGGTCAATCTTAGCCCTTGTTTAGTTCCCTTTATTTTTAAAATACATTTTTTTCTTTTATTTTTAACCGTGCATTCTCCATCAAAATACTATTTCAAAATACATTTTGAGAAAAAAATGAGGTTCAAACAAGCACTTAGTATGTAAAAATTCAAACTCATATCATGAACATGTTGCAAAATTTTTGGATCGACGAGAACTTTCATGGGTTTTGTCTTCTCATAAGACTATATTTGACCGACCATCGTGATCAAGGTCCGCTCAACCTTCTTTTTCTCGACCATTTCATCTCGAGACTAAAGTGTTGCATACCCTCTTTTCATATTAGTTTTTCAATGTCTTACTAATTAAAATTGGATTACAAAATTTTGTTGGGAGGTGATAGACTCAAAGTGATTACCTTGAGAGTCTTGAAAACGGGTTGGCAATGATGGTTTAATAGAACGGAATGTATTTTATAACAAAAGATTTTGTCACAATGGTCATAAATTGAGGTCACTCTCACATGTACAACAATAATATGACTACACAATAGGACTAGGCGTTATTTTTTGTAAAATTGTAGAACAATATGCCTTGGTCTTGCTCTAGAAATGTTAGGCGAACCGAAAGTTTGTTTTTTAAACCTTGTATATTTTGAATCGCCGTATATCTCTCTCTCTCTCTCAATTGACCATTTGGACCGTCATAATGAAGTCAATCATCTCTTGACCATAACTTTTTTGTGGTAATCCATGTACTTCTTGGCCTTGTCAAGGAACTCTTGGTAGTTGGTTGGTCCATCTTTGCCAATGTCCCACCAAAAACTTATCCCTCTTCCCACGCCAATATTGATGGCCAAGCAAGCGACTCTACGAGTATGTTTATTAAACAAACAACTTTACGAACACTAAAAAATAAAATGGACCAAGGTCCAAACATTCTACACTCGTCACTGAATACAACATAAAAAATTACTCTAATTTAGATTTTTTTTTCACCTTTAAATTGACGTACTCAATTCTCACTTACAAACAGGGACGGATTTAGGGGGTGCTGGGGAAAAAAAAAATTTATGTGAAAAAAAATTTTCATGTGTAATTTTTTTTTTTTTTTTTT